TAGTACAATGGGATATGCCATGCTTCGAAAATGTAAGATCATCTGTTCGAATCTGCTTCAAGGTAATAAAACGTGAGTTGGAACACGCTGACAAAGCATATGGATATACTTATAGACGAAGTCGTTCTCAGAGAACGTGAACAAATAACAAAGAGAGCTCTTCAGTAGACATCAAATGTCTGCCCGAAAAATTTACTTTTTTTAACTGTTTTTATGAGAAGCCTAGGTTAGGCAGCCGTAAATAAATCGCGATTTCGGTTGAAAATCGAAAAAAGTATCGGTAAAAATCGGCAGTTTGAATGATTATATCGCGATAAGCTCTCACGATTAATCGCCCTAATATCCCGCGATAAAATCGTCGATTTTTTAGCGATTTTGAGGACATGGGTAATAATCAACCATATTCAATTACATTCATAGATTCTATATCAATATATTTTGATAAAGTACAAAATCATGTTGAATTAACATGTCAATTTTCAACAGGTGATATACGTGATTTATTACGTTTTATAATATTAATATCAGAAATAATTTATATAAATATATTTCAAAAAAAAACATCATTTCTTAGTTGTGAAATAGATCAAATAATACTGTATAGCTATATTATTATTTTGTTTACCAATATTTATATAAAGACAATTTTGAAGTTGGTTGATTATCAAGAATACAATTTCAAGAAATATAGGCTTCATTTTTAGCTTCAATTAATTCACCACAAATCAATGTAATGATGAGAATAAACAAACAACAAATAATTTTAAAAAAAAAAAAGAAGAAACTTTAGAAAAAAATGCAACACAATGGTAACAAGATTGAAAAATAAACTAGATTTTATCTGTTCTTTTTTTATCGGTGGTCAATATATGCAAACATGTTCAACATTAGATACAAGTTCAAATAATTTATTTACAAATATTGAACGGTTAGATACACGTGATTTATTATCCTATGGACAACTTTCATATGATACTATATGAACATCAATCCAAAGTAATAATACATTACCATTATCAGTTAATGTAAGTCTCACATATGTTTTAATAATCGACAAATAGAACTCAAAGTTAAAAGAAAGATAAATTCATTGCTAAATTATTAATTTCATCAAAGAGAAAATCTAGTGTTTCTCTGACTTTGATTTGATATATAATACATGCA